CAACCTTCTTCGAGCTCTATTCGAACACTACTGGTCGACTCACTGCTTATGACGAACTGTTATCGTAATTGATGACTTGAAATGATGTTCACCAGGGTTGTCCACTCTTTTGTCATAGAGATGACGCTCAGTAACTCATCAAGATTCTTTTATTGACTTAAAGTACGTGTATGACAACCCTGTTTAGCTAAGACTGACAAAAGTCTGTATTCTAATCATCTTGAGCAGTCGTGTAAGCATGTTTGGGATGTGTTTTTCTCCCTTTAAATGAAATCGTTGCTTTAGGAATGGTTTTCTTCTATAAGCAAAGTAATTTTAAGAAGATTAGTTAGACTTCACCTGCTTTAAAAGTTTCATCAGCTCTGTTGCTTTGGTGTCTCACGAAATTTCGGCACGGATCTAAAAATGCTCAGTTGACCTTTGACTACCGATTTACCATTACTGTGGTTAGGCAAAGATAAGGTACTAGGTAAGGATGGCAGATCGATTAGTGTTGTAGGGAATCAACTGAGGTGTTTGGGTCATCTGTTACTGTGCATCTTCAACGACCGCTTACCTCGACGGGTGATGTCTAGTGCCGGAGTAGATTGAAAGGAAGCTAGGGATGGATAAACCGAAACGTCATTAGTTTCCTATTGCATTGATTTTAATTGGTACTATAATGAGCATTTCTATAAAATCTGACGTAATTTATTGGTTTCAGAGTCAGAATTACCATCTTGGTGTGTATGACTTGCGATTTCATTTGCCTTCCTCCATTCTAATGAAGGTCTAATTTAATGTATTTGTTAACTGATTACATACATCATATAGTCCACATAATTATAAGCTGTCTATTCACTTTGCACAAATAAACTTTATTTTAAATGCTAAACTTTTTATTTTTATTACAAATGAAGTCAACTTTAGTATGTGTATCTATACTAACTACCGACCACATTTTGAAAATTGAATTTCTTTCGTTAGACTTCTGAACTTCGATTACTGTTTTATTTTCGTTATCGATATGATTCTTTACATATGTTAAAATATTATCATAGGCTAGCTAAACTAAAGTTTCAGTTAAACCATCTTCAGTTACTTCATAAAGTGCTTATTTTTATTTGAAGATGTTTTAAAATCTCAGCTATTATTGCATTTCTGTGGCCTACAAAGTTTTGGAGTTATACAAAAGTGTCCAAATGGCTAATTCACAGTGTATCAGAAAGTTAAACCTTATTTTTAAATAACCCAGTTTGTTATGAAAGTAGTGCCCCATTACTCACAAAGAGTATTTGCTGCTTAATAAACACTAGTTTTTATTCCAAACAATTTAGTCGCACTATCCACGTAAGTTCTTGAAAATTATTCCAAAATAGTATGGTAAAATACTCTTTATGTAAATTTTTATTTCATCATAACTAGTTTCATTATTTATCATATTCTAGCGGTATTATCGTTTCGAGTAACAGGTATATATTGACTACTTCGATGTGTTTGCTCTTGATACGTAAAAATTGGCCTTATTGTTAGGCTTATCGTGTTCAGTAAATAAGGCAAAGTAGCTGATACGTTTGTGAACTCCTACTGTTTAAGCTCCTTAAGATACGTAACACATTCTTAACAGAAATCCACTTCAAGTGGTGTAAGAGTATATATATATATATATATATATATATATATATATATATATATAACGTTGGTCGAACTCATAGAAAGGTTTAGGCCTTTTAGTTTATTTTAGCTAGTCAGTATACTTAATTACTTCTGTTATCCATTCACCATCTGGACATTTGTATGAACCGCACTTTTAGTAGGGTACAGTAATACTCCCGGGCTACCCCGACCGGAGTACCTGGACTGTGGTTCAGGCAAACAACTTGTTGGTTAAGGGTTTAACGCCTCTGCCACACAACAAGTCTGTTTAAAAGCTAAATACAAGGACTTATTCTAAGTTACTGGCTTGCTTTCGCTGTCTTAGATTTCATTCGTTTGATATAGGTCACAAGGTTGTTGATAAATGTACAATCTGGTTTGGTTTTGATACACAGCTTAACACTCGACTAAATTTTATTTTCTGTCTTTCATCTGCTTTCTGGTAATGTACAGTTTGTTTATCAAGATGAATTTAGGTCTCATTATTTGCTTTTCAGTTTTTAAATGATGTCAAAACATCATCGAGCCAAATCAAACAATACCAGCATTTACGACATAAATTACTACATTTATCCAGCTAGTATATTAATGCTCAAAGTTACCGGTTAATGTATTTTACTTATTCTTCTAGCAATTTTTCTCGAACTTTGAACAAAGTTAAAGCTGAACAAGAGGGATGGACAATAATTCCAAATTCATCATCTTTCGATAGTGTTATTACTGAATCAACTAGTTCTTCCTTTGAAAAGCAGGTCCAATCAAACCGAAATGTTTCCATGTCTTTTATGGAGAGTTACACTACCGGTGCCGAAACTTTAAATTCCATAAAGTCAGAAAGCGATCAAACCAATCCATCCGTACACGTTTCCGACCCAATGAAAATAAATTCACCAAATTTAACCGATGAACCACTGGTATTACTAAGCGGTACGTCCAATGAAAATCATACGGTAGCCCAATCCAGTATAAATTCAATACAAAAACATATCGCAAGTTCCAAATCCAGTTCGTAAGTTGGGAGTGTATATCTATCTCGTCGCTTTTTGTGTTATCCAGCTTTTTATGGAATATGTAGAAACATGACTTGTGCTCTTTACTGAATATGATCCGAGCGTTCCTCAATCTTGATGTAAGATCACAATCTAAATAACACTGAATTCCAAAAGGAAATGAAGTCGATATGTCATCTCGCTTTGTCCTTGATCTCTTCTTTTCGACAGTGAACCTTCACATTTCAGTAATCACATTAATGTTAAAACTAGTTTTTTAAAAGAACTGTTTCCCAATCAACAAAAGCGCCAAAGTTCATGAGCCTCTTCTCATTATTTGGATACTTTAGAGACTAAATTTGTTATGTCCTTGAAGCGTAATAATAATTGGAAACTTTTTCACAATATCGTAGCACTATGGATTTAATGGAACGATATCTGCTGCATACTGGCTGACCTGGTCAGTCAATAGTATCAATTTTCCCCACGCATGAATACCACACGTACTTTCCAGTTGTAAAATAAGACAAAGAATAGCAGCTTGGGATCAGTTATTCTTTAATTACCCTCCAACTGGTAGTGACGGACGAGAAATATATACGAACTAAAACATTTATTAATTGATTTGCTTGCAAATGTATTAACTATCGCTTTTGGAAATCAGTAACTAAGTAACCAAGTTCAAATTTCAGTGGGTGTAGCAGTAGAACGGTGGTTTGTAGTTAGGTACTCAACATCTAGCCAATAAACCCCAATTTCAGACCCCCTCCACTTAGTTCGGTTTGTGCGTAACTCATATTCGAATACCTGTTGAATGAGTTAATCTTAGTTTTAATTACCAAATTTCATGATGTAGTAGAGTTAAAAACCCGAAAAATGGCTTCGAAAATAAATGAAAGCCAATATCTGTTTGAGCGTGTGATGGTGGGGAGTAGTTGCTGATAACCTCGTACGGGGACCAAAGTGCAGAGGGAAACTAACAAATCTGCTATTTTCAACTTACCATTCATACAACTATAGTTCAAATTTGAATATATATGCGCATATATATTCGGCGCACTTCTGTACCAATATATATGTGTTCAAATAAAATATAAATATAGTTTGAATTTGAAATAAATGTCAACTATAACAATCTTAGGCCTCTGTCAATGATCTTCAAGTATAACAGTTCTAAATCACTAAGCGAAAGTATTTGCTGAGTGTCTGTCTAAAACTAGTGTGAATCTCTGTCGGTTTCAAGGTTAGCCCAGTTGTATTGATAAAATCTTTGTTTCCTTAAAATTTCTAAAATTAGTGGTATTTTTCCCATCACCCTTTCGGTGTACTCCACAACCAAACCACAGCATTTAGCTTGAATGAGAATAGTTTGTATTAGTGGTTCACTTTAGAAATAATGCAAAGTAACTTTACCAGGTTAATACAAGATCTGTGCAATCGTATACGAGTTAATGTGAGAGATTTTGACTTTGTTAGCTATAAGCGGTATTCTCTAGAGATGTTTACTTTAACCCGTCAACGTCAGTATGAGGGTTTTAATAGAGGCAGTAACATCTGTTTTTTATTGTTACGGGTTTCATAACATGAAGATGAAAAGCACGTTATTTATTCAGTTCTTACACTTTATCTGTGTATGAATTTTATATGAAAAACAGAATTATTGACATAAGTACTGATGCATATCTTACTAAAGTGTGCGCAGTTAGGTTTATGGTATTATAGCTACTTATTGGTTTAGATTTTTGTGAATGTTGGCGTAGGCTATCAGTCTATTCTATTTATGTTACTTTGAAAAAATAGAGCTGGGTTTAGTTTTTCTGGTGCAATTTTCAAAACTAATTACCTTATCTCGATTAATTTCTATACATAAATCATCGTTGTCTCACTTGATTGCCTCACGCATAGACCTTTACTATTCGAAAAGGAATTCCGTTTAGTGTCGGGAAACGATTACTGTTTATATCGTGTTTCATCCGTGTTTACATTATCGTTAGTAAACAGAAAAAATATTGAGAATTCTAGAAAACAGTTGAAGAAAAAAAGATAACAATGTTTAACCTGCTGGCTAACTTAACTCATTTACTCTGAGTGTGATTTTGATCAGGAGGATTTTTTAAAAAATGTCACATGTGTTTGTGTGCGTTTATTGAATTTGGCTGCTTTTTAAGAAACTAGAAAAAAAAACCAATACAGAAAATTGTCGTTCTAATGATTTTTTTGTTACAATCTGTTTACCATAATTTAGTCAATTAACTGTTCATAGTGGCATCATTAGTAGCCTATTGTTGTTATTATAGAAAAGATTTTCAGTTTTGTTTTTGAATAACAGTCTTAATAAGCGGTTTTTAAAAAGAAGAGTTATGTATTAAAGTATTTTCTCAAATTGTAATGATCGCTAGCAAATTTTGTGTGTTCATTGATTAAGTGGTAAAATGTATCTGTTTTAACCACTAAAATAACATTTATTTTATGCTTGTGTTTGTTGAATAGTGATTTGTTGGTTAGTATACTTCTTTGTAAGGCAAGAAATGCCAACTAGGTACACAATAATGTTATGTACCGCTTGATAGGGTTTTACATTGAATCTTACAGAATAATTTAGTCACTAATCCAAACCCTGTTCTAAGTGTTATTCTACTCATGTATATTATTGCACAACTGACACTGATAATAACGTTATTTACTGAATAATAATGTCATACACTAGAATGATACCATTGTCACAGGTGTCTGAGAAAAGAGCCGATACACTTGTCGATCTATAGACCTACCAAACTATCTGAATGCTAAATTATTAGAAAAGTCTGCTAGCATCTTGCTAACCCCACTACATGAATGCCTCAGTAGCCGTAAAGCATATATGTCAACCCAATACTATTTTGGAACGCTATTGCTTTTATTCGGTATTATTCAATTTTACTTTCTCCTTTTAACTCTCTTATCGTCGGAATTCAACAGATTGTTCTGAAAAAGTGTATTAGGCTTCTAACTTGGTTAACGACATCAAACTTACATATTATCCAATCTTATTTTAATAGAATGTAATTCAGTGTCAAAGTTATTTACTGGTTGTCGAAATCGATATGTATACCTTGCTGAGCCTGTCTCTTAAGTCAAAACAATGACGAGTCATAGAAGTTTATCGACTCTTCCGTGTATGTTTGTAACTCCATAACTACCAGTTGAATCAGATTGATTAGATTACACTTGACATAGCACGACCAAATAATCGTAGCTATGAACATACGTAAAATGTAACCATGAAGTTGGGAATTCTTGATCGTGCTTTGCTTTCATTCTCTACTGCTCCATCATTTTGGAAGGAATTTGGTCCCAACGACGTGTTCACATAGTGAAGTATATTGTCCTATGAGCTCATCATATAATGTAGTATTGTATCATTGTCTTGGATATATATATATATATATATATATATCAAAACGGTGTTTATACTACACATTACTTTACAACTCAATATCCTACAGGAAAAATTTCAACAACAACCAATTTATGACATATGTCTGAATAAAAGTTATTTGAATAAGGTTGTAGTGCGTGTTCCATCTCCGTCAATGATCACAGCTTATGTTAGCCTTATGGTCTTATTTTTGTTTTCATTTCTTTTCATCCGAATTAATCGTCCAAGCAAAATAATTAAAATCTTTAGTGAATGCTTCTGTCTCTTTTCCTATCTAAATCTACCGTAATCTTATATTGTTTGATATGATACCATTGTGTATTGAGTTTTTCTTTCAATAGTAATAAACTACTTACGTATATTCAATCTTTATCAGTTTCAGGATTGAGTATACAATATCATTTCCATTCACTATAATGCAGTTGAATATTAGCCTTATTTTAATACAGTAAATAATCGTACATAGTAATCATATTTGATAATTGGTTGTAAACGGTGTCGAACAAATATGGCTGAAGTAAGTTCTTGTACGTGTAGTTTGTCACCTTAGTACAATATCTCTCAGAATAAATATGACTTATTTGGTTATAGTTACAATTTGTGTCTGGTTAAGTAGTAACTCAGTTCCAATGTATGATTTTCTTAAAATGTCTCTTTAGCTCAACCTCTAATCCATTCCAAGAAAATTTTTATTCCAATATCCTATCAACTTCTAATTCAAATCCTAATAATATCCATAGGACAAATACAGAAATCCATTGGGTAGCTAGTCTACCTACTATTTCATCCATTGCCAATGGGTTAAAACAAGCTGTTGCAGATCGTAGATGCGGTTCCACAGATTTCTGTTCAAATTTAGACTCACTTTCTTCAGAATCACGCTTTACAAATTCAGTTTATCCTCACGATAGTATGGGATCTCATAGAATATCAGAAACTGTTTTGACATCAACTGAAAATATTTTATGTAATAATGATAATAACGACCCAGTTCACTGTAGATTATCACAGAAATTACCAATTTTAACCCCGTGTAATCCTGAACAACAGGCTTCTGATATTCTTGTTCATTATGCTATTCAAGAGAATCACAATACTGTTCCGATGAATGGTTCATGCAGTGAAGGTATTGGTGATGACTTGGTAGCATCATCATCTAGTTCAAGATTGTGTGCCAATGATTCATCTGATTTTGGGATAAGAAATGCTCTCAATGAACTATATTCTTCCGCTCGTCCAACTCTACCTAATGTCGGGGAGTGTAGAATTTTAACTCCTGTTTTATCATCAATTCCTGAGTCAACATCAACTGATGGTAATCCATGTAATGAAAGTACACAAAAGACTCCTGCTCATATTTTTGTTAGCTGTCAGTCGACTACACCTCGAGATAATTCAAATCACCTCTTAGATAACCATTTGAACCCAACTTCGATCGCTAGTCAGTCACCTGGCTCTTCAGGTATTCATAACAGCGACAGCATGTTAAACAGAAATGATATCTGTCTATCGCGTCCACCGGAGTCTGTAAGTTGCTTCTCATTATTAAAATGTAATTCACTTTTAAAACCACATACTCAGTACCTTAGTAAAACGATAATTAGACATTACTATTGAATTTGTATTTAGTGAGCTTCACTGCGACTGTTCTCGTATATTGGTTCGATAACATTTATCACCTATGTTGATAGTTTCGTTAAATTATTTCGATTTGAATAATTCGGTTTTGACAGACTTCATATTCATTCATGTCCGATGTAAATATGTTCACAGTAATCTCGTTACTATGACTGATATATTTTACTGTCAACACCTAATGTTGATCAACACATTGACCTTTTCACCTTCATTTTTGATAATCCGTACTTTTAAGCGAAATGTAGTTATGTTTCAAAATACAGTGCTTGGTATGAAAGCTTGGTAATGGTGAACAGGATACACTTGTTGTGAACACTCGGGGTAAATCAGGATCCAAATATCCTGGTGATGATCTCACAGATGTGTGCTTATTGTTGATTTCAAAAGTCAACCAAGCGCTCCGTGACTGGGTTTAAACAAATGGTCATTTGTACGTTGTCCGATTGGATGGAACTCGAAAAGATGGTGGTATATATCAGCACTTGTTCATAGCCTGCTTATCAACGTGCTGAAGGGATCCTGAATGAATTAATAGATAATTTCTTTCAAAAGCTTTTTAGTCTCTAAAATGGTTAGTGCTCAGATGTAGTAGTTGTGGCGGACAAACTAAACCAACAAAAAATTTTTGGTGGGAACTTAATCGTTCCGGCTCAGCAAACCAGGTAATGGAACATTTCATCTGAAGCTATCCTGAAGTAACCATTTATTCCTAACAAGCACTAACTTAAAGCATAAAAAACATTATAGCAACCTTTGATATTGATTCAACATTATTACAAATAAACTATCTTGCTGATAGTCATTATTGAGGAGAGCCAGTGAGAGACATCTGAAATATATGCAGACTGCAACCGCAAACTGTCACAAGAGTACATTTGCTAGATGCCTTACTAGGCATTGCGATTTCCGGTTTTCTGTAACATTTTCAAATAACTTCAACCAAAAGGTTAAGGACGTCTGGTGGGTTTTGGAATCCTACTAAATTAATTGGTCTTCGGAAGTTGTTGATAATGATCTCTTAATACTACAAGGAACAATGACAACTTAAACTCACGAAAATTCTGCGCGATAATCGTGACTATTCGGTAAACAATTAAAAAAGCATTGAAACACTGAGCTGTAATCCAAGAACATTTACGATACGTTTTCCTTCCCATAAATTGAAAATGTTCATTCATTATCAAAAATGCATTTACCACATTACGAATCTTTATCTTACCGGCCCTAGAGACCTAGGACCTGAGGAGTTATCGGTGGTGGTACAAAAAGCTCTTGACTGAGTCGTACCGAAACTAATAGACTTCTTGGTTAGAGTTTGAGAGATAATTGTAATCATTGTTTAGTAACTAGGTAATATGACAAAATCAGTTTCAGTAGCTCAGTTACATTCATCCTTTCTATTCCTCTAAATCATGTCCTCAGACTCATTACGTACCTACTTTTTTGAACTGATTCATCTCTTTTCAGCAGTATTTGTCTAGTTTTTCATCACAGTTGAGATTATTACTAACATTCCTTTGATTTTAATTAAGTTCCTTTCCTTTCATTGTACTAGTACTGGGTGCAGCAACTTGAATTAACTGAAATCCATACAATTTCATACATCTCTCACTGACTGGAACACATATATTTGTATAATCAGTTTCTGTAACTTCGGTATGGTGTTATTTTTCCCACTTTGTGCCTGTATACTGTCATGAAAACTTATTTTTTTCTTATTTATTCAGCATACCAATGGAAATTTACGCAGTCAACAGTTCGAGGAAATGTATTGTACACTTGGTAACCAGTTTTCTGATAAGTCATTATTACTCCAATCAAACAATAGATTTACAACAACCAGTCATTTAATCTCATTTACTAATCCTGTATGTGATTCCTTTCTGGATGCTCATATGTTACAAAGTTTGAGGTCACCTGGAATACCGAGCACTGATATAAAGCAAGGTTCTGTTAATTCTGTGTTTAATCTCACACCAATCCCTTCATTTTTATCCGATGAAAGTAATGGTGATCTTGATCAGAGAAATAATTATTTTCAGCAGTTGTCAAATTCTAAGTCAGATACAATTGATATGACTTCATTTACTGCAGTAACCAGTTGTTTAAATCCCTTTTCTGCTGAACCATTATCATTAGTCACTCATTCAAACTGTCTCAAAAAATCTAGACGTCATGGTGCAGGGAATAAAAAGTCACGTATGAATGCTTTGAATACTAATTCTGGATTACCAGTTGTTTGCGATAGTAGTACAGACATAATACCGACCCAAGGTATGTTCAATGATCCAAGTAAAAACAGTGTAAAGCGATCACGTAACTTAACGGGACGTGGAAGCTCAGATGTGACTGCTAAAATTCCTTCTAGTGTTTATAATAGTGAGAATTATTCAACTGCAAATCAACAGGCATATCGTGGAGATTCTAATAAGTGTTTTAGCGGTAAAGTTGAATCTTTGGCTATTGATGATGCGGATGATAGTAGTGATCATTCAGAATCAATTAGCACAGGAACTAGTCATGCTGTTAGGGATAACACTCCAGTTTCTCCTTTAAATGAATTCGAACAGCATCATTTAAAATTGGAAAGAAAGCGTGCTCGTAATCGTGTTGCTGCACGTCGTTGTCGTGAACGTAAAATATCACTTATCAGATCGTTAGAAAATCAAGTAGCTGAACGTGATGCCCAAGTAAGAAATTTAGAGAATACAGTAGCTCGGTATAGAGCTGAAGGTGAACAATTAAGATTACATGTAGAAATGCTAGCTAATTCATATCCTAGTTTAAAAGCTGAGTTATATCAGTTCCCTTTTCTTTTCCAACCATTATCGTCGCATGCACAACCACCACCGCCTCAACAACAACAGCAACAACAAACTTCTAATCAAACTACTCCATTAAAATCAGAACTTCCAGATACATCATCGTCAAAGCATTTCACTTGAAAAGGTCGAATAATTATAACTAAAAATACCATTGATATATTTTTATTGTTTCCTTGACACATAGTTGTAAGAATTTCTTTTTTTCTCCGCTTGTTTGTTTTTGTTACGATATTTTAGTCTACAAGCCATATTTTCTCACTTTTCGTTTTTGTCATAATGATTTCTATATTTTTTGATTTTTTTTTAAGAAACAAAGCTCTTTTTAGGTTTTAATGATGAACGGACCATATGTATACATACGTACATCATACTTTTCTATAAATCATTTCACATTTCCTTTCTGTCCTATGTTTATTATCTCCTAGTTGTGTTTGGAAAATTATACGTAGTTTTCAGTCTGGTTTTTCGTCTGTTCTAACGTATTTAATTCATATGATCTTACGTTTATTATACTATCTCATAATCGTGTAACAATTAGGAATGACCTACTTTACCGGTTATTATGTAATTATCATTATCTTCCATTCGGTTAAGACCATAATTGATATTCTGATGTTGATAAATGGAATCAGCGTCAATTTGTGCGCCTTTTTTTAAAGTTTTTTTTAAAAATTTTTATATCACTAATGTTACTATTAGTATTATTACATCGGACTGGGAAATGTTTTTCCTAACAGATTAGAATTGTTTCACAGGTATTATTTTCGAAAAATCAATTTTGATTACAAAATGTTCATTCTCTTTTTGCTTTGATGGTTTTCTACACTTGACAGTTTTTAATTGTTACATATTCATTGTATTGCCTATCACTAAATAAGGTAAGTTGGCTGCTCATATTTTGTTTTTGTTAAAAGTTGGGAAGAAAAACATTGTCACTTTACGTATTAAGTCCAGTTGTTGTATTTCTGATCATTTCTTTTATATATACACATTTTCTGTCTATATATGTTTTATGAAATATGCACATATATTGCCTTTATTATATAAGTCATTGTAAGCCAAATGCTATATATATATATGGTAGCCTCTTTTATTCCCTGGAGGTTCCATCCAACCCGGTTTAAAGAATACACACATTTCATATATACATTATTACCAACATAAATATAATAGATAAATCTGCAAATGTATATGAATGGTTGGTGTTCTTTTAGAATTTTCCATATGCCTTTTTTTCGTTTTTCTGATGTTGCTTATGTTTGAATATGCAGTATTAATGATTAAACTATTTTATACTTGTACCATTATTCTCTATATACGTTCAATCCTGTTTTCTATGAACTCTGATTTTGTTGATGTGGAACAATTTTCTTCGTGCTCCATAGTTTGTTACTCATCCTATTATACTTAAATATAAGTGTAATGTGCCTTCTATGTTGCTGCAAAGAATATAATATTGTCGAATACAAATAATATATATCTATATATATATATATATATATATATATATATATATATATAATCGGTATATTGTGAAATTTAGGCAACATATTATTTACGTGTATGGCTTTTGTCATCATGCATTTATTCTATCAAAAGGATAATTAAACTTACTTCTTATTCATCTACAGGCAGGTACATTATCTTTTTAAAATTATTTTTAATGTAATGCTCATTCTTTCTACGTAATTTTCCCCGCCATCCATAGCGCCGTTATATATATATATATATATATATATATATATATATATATATATATATATATATATATATATATATATATATATAGTTTTCTTCTATTCGACCATTTCACCTTCCTCTTCATTACTAACTGGTTCTAATTGAACAACGAATGATTATCTGTTATCCTTTGAAATAGTCCTTTGTTTTGGGCTGAAGAAGAGGACAAAGTAGGTATATGGTACACTTTTTTCATAAATAATTCCTATTTATTATCATTGTTTGGACCATGGAATATGTAGGCAGATTTTGCGTTCATTCTTTTTTTTCTAATGTTATCTGTCTTCGGCATATTTTCCACGTCATCTCATCTGTGTTTTTACGATTGCTTTCCACTCATATTGATGATGATGATATCTTCAATACCAGCAAGGAAAAATGAATTAGTCAGTTAATTGAAAAAAAAAGACAAACATAACATGTAAATATTAAGTTTATAATTCTTTTTAATAACACTATTACGAATATTAGTGCTACTATAATTATTATTTCTAACTTCTTTCATAACACAGTTTTCGTTTAATAAATTTTGATAGTCAAATCTAAATAAAAATTAATTACATTCTTGCTTTGTTTTAAAGATTTTAATCCCTCGGTTGAGGTGGTTACATGGGTCTTTTTGATAAAAGAAATTTATTAAACCCCCACTTCTGATCCATAATTAGTTAAATCAAACAGCTCATTTAATATTCTACATAGCACACTTCATTATCAGATAATAAAGTCGCTCCTAAACACTACTGTTGTATCTAGAGCTCAGATTCTTTATATATGACGTACAACTTGAGCACTCCAACACTAGAACCTTTCAAGTTGTGAATGTGAAGACAGAAGACAAGTGGAAGGAATGCTGTTCCATACTGTCAAATATATTAAACTCAGGCATTTATAGTTTTCAGTAAAAACGAAATCATCATTATAGTCATTCAGTCCACATGCAGGGGATTTTAGCGTTTGTCCATTAGGAAGGCTACGCGCAGAAATTCTAGAATATTCTTCCAAAAGATGATTGGATGGAGTATCTTCGGCTCTTTCTGAGCTTCCTCGAGTTCACTCGTGTGCTGTTTTCGTATAATTGATAATGATCGACTACGAGAGCGTCTGCACAAATGAGAAAAATCTCTGACTCAAAGAAGGAAAGGTTATTTGTATTCCCGCTAAAAGTAGTTAGTGTTACAGGTTATTTGTCTCAAACATTGTTACTGGAAAATAGAGTTACCTTGTTCTGCTTTGCAAGAATCAGTTACTGTACAACTCACTTTTCTAAGATAAATAAGTATTTCTTTCTACCCCAACTACCTAGGTCTTCCATCAAAACAGTTATATTGTTTCTCTCCTACTCTGGATTACACATGGGATTTCCTTTTATTGCCTGGATTTTGTATTCCAATCGATACGATTGAGTTGTCAAATATATCTTCTATCCTTCCAAGAGGGCTTAGTCGAAAAAAGTCAAGATCGGTTTGTCTGAGAAGTTAAGCACATAAAAGAAGTTTCAATTTTTGCGGGATTTAACTTCGTTAGGCCTGTTCTCAATGAGTAAATCTACTCAGTTAATATCTTTAGTTAAATCACGTGACTAATGAAATGGATTTCCACTTTTCACGTGCATTGTGCTTTATTTTATGATAAGATTTGAAAATTAAACTCAACATTCTTTATTGCTTGTCATATAATTCCTGACAGGCTTTTAAGTCAGAGGTCTTAAGTCTTGTAAGATGTCACTCACAGTTCTAATTTCTTAATAACCGAAATGCATAAATTATTAATCGATTAAGGCGATTCGATTAAATCGTAGATTTAATACTTGTAAAACCTGGCTTGAGATTCAAAATTGCTATGCACACAAAAGTGTCTTGTTTTTTTAACAATCTGCAAATGCTTGTTCAGTAATCACTTATCTGATTGCTTTCATCGAGTTTTCACTACTAACAGATTAATTGGTGATATAGCAGATGATAATTTTGGTTTCAGCTCCAAAATACTGACCTATGGTCTGTCTATCAGTGCACTGCAAGAGACCATGTTAATGGGTTAATATTATTTTTTGAAATTTGAGAATTATTTCTTCGCTAACTACATATTAGTCTTTTGAATGAAGCCAGATCAATTGAAAAAATAATATTAATTCATTCAATATCATATTTTCTCATCAGTCGCTTACATCCACACATGTATTGAAATGTAACACTGCGGTATGAAGGAATCGACATTGATGACGGAAGGAATTAGAGTTACGAAGATTATCAATATTAATTATATACACATTTTGACCGCCCTCGTAGACTATTTGAAGGAAAGCTTGGGAGGAACTTGCTTTCATTATAATCCATCTACGTGATAATGCATGCCCACCGAAATTCATCGAGTATCCCGAAACCAACGTACGTGTTAAATAAGACAGCGTAATTGAGTTAATATCATCCAATAAACTTTGACCATCTTGCACAGTCAAGTGTAGTTTTCTCGGATTATTTGTAAATTATTGATTGTCTTCTAAAACATTAGACATAATAATAGTAGAAATAACATGTTTAGATTAGCATTTTTATTATTTACGAGGGCCTAATAAAACCAATTGAAACGTTTTTAACTAAAAAAGTCATGCATGTTACACTGTTTACAATTGTTGATTGAAGAGTTCACTTAGCACGCGACTCAAATTTGATAGATTCTAAGATTTCGTCACATGAGAAATAACATGTAAAATGTATGTATAAATGAAACTATTACATAAGAAAATAATGCAAATCAAGGGACTGTTAGATATTATTTACCAGTCTCGCTGCTGATGTGGTCGAATTCTGTATACTCGTAAATGTCGATGACACTATTCTTATGTTAGATGTACGTTAATTAACAACTTGATAAATCAATAAATACGAAATTACAGTATTCATGTTTTGCATGATCCCCCTATGCATAAGCAAATTGGGAATTATTTTCATATAGTACTGCTACTACTACATCGGAAATTTAAATTAAGTGATATAAATTTTTAACCTAATATTCAGTATACTAAATAATGTATATGTATATATATAGTTTAATACCGTGTTCTGCCATGCGACAGATATTGCGGAAATTTGTAAACCAAACTGATTATCTGGTAAAAGAGCCGTCATATTCTAGAATCTATTTATCTTCTTTCAATATTCGTGTAGTGTTAGAAATATTTTTGTATTAATTAACTTTTTATCGTATATTTATAAACTTTGCCAAATAAATATCTAATAAAAACTAAAAATTCCCAAAAGTAACATGAAATGAATTACTCATTTAGTGATTATTTGGGAGAAAACGTAGTACGTCCGAACTAAGTTAATGAATTCTTTGACGGTCGGACTAAGCCATGTAAAATGGGCAGATTATCTTATCCGTGTCCGATTATCGTAACTAATTGTTAGAGACTGGGTGATATTGCTCGAAATAATTTTGTCTGCCATCAGATACCGAGCTTCGGAGTCTGATACTTTCTCTTATGTTTAATCGTCTCTATTACTGCTGATTCTGTTGCTTCTACTACTTTTCTGACATTTGTCTTGATAATTTCATCTGGTTCTGCTGATGAGGATGATGAAGACATACATTTGCTTCATGTTTCGTTTTGTATATGACTGAGTTACTTATCACTATTACTCTAAGATGACAATAACTAATGTGAAGCCGATTAGAAACTTTCAGTTTTCCTTGTAACTGCTTTCGTAGAACAAATAGTAGAACAGTTCCGTGACTGTTTCATTATTGTAAAGCTATTTGAACGACTAAATATTTTTCAATTGTTCTAGGAAATAATCAATACTCATTGTATAGACCGTTACTATGTTCTAACCTATTGAATAATCCAAATTCATATTTCTTAAGTTAAATTCAGTTATTATTTGGGTTATTTAAAACTTTAGTCAATTTTCTTGATAACTTTCACAAGCCTATAACGAATATGGGATTTAACTTTATTGAAATACATTTTAGCGAAAAGTAACAGTACTACCAATACATTGTTAACTCATGGATCCATCATGTTATACGGTTTTTATTCCATATGTGTAGAATGCTAACAATTATCAATGAACCTAGTAAAATATTAAAAGTGTTTTTATTCTATTGAACTGTTTCATTGTTGAATGATATACATAATTTATGTTGATGATATGAAACTCACCAAACTGTATTAAGCCTTACTTGAACACTTGTTAAATGTATAATTTTTACTAGTTCAATTCATGGGTTGATGTAAGCTAGACCACCACAGAAAACCTGGAAGCACTGGACGGCCGTTTCGTCGACTCATGAATCCCACTATTAAAATTACTACAATATCTATAAATTCCATTCTGATCAAACTATATAATTATTATGAAGGGGTCTTTTACCATACTTTTTCCATCTATGCTGCAAACATATAGAATACAAGTAATGTGTAGCAGTAACTTGTATTGAGAATTCACAATTGCATTCAAAAATCTAGAACTATGTGAACTGATTATTTTTTCTAAATTAATTTACATAAGATTTCCAAAAAGATGTATTAAAGGTTTGATAATTGCCATCTGTGAGGAAGTTGTTAATTAATCTTGTTTCCTCAGTAGACTGAAACTTACTTATTCTTATAGAGCCTGATTTTATGGGGTTAATTCTTAATATTCGTATTTCTATTCTCTATTTAAGGAATGAAGTGAACTCTAACGAAGCAATGTGACATATATAATAACGTAGATTC